TTAGGTTATTTTAGTTTTTGTTAATGATACACTGATATGCACAAAGCCAAGCTAAACTTATATATACTGATGATCGCAGTCATTTTAAGTCACATCAGCTTAATTATTGGTAAGCTTAGTGAACATCCCCTCCAAATTATTGTGATAATTCATGTATATTGTAGTTTAGAGAAAGTGCAGGGGTCAGCTAGAGTTAGACGTCTGACAATAACGTAGACGTAATTGCATGTTTGTTTTTTTCTGAGAGAATCGTATGCACATGTGTATATATGAAGCCTTGCTACTTACTACTATACCATATCGTCAATGATAACATTTTCAGATGTGAAAGTAGCATATATTTAGTTTTACAATGAAGCAAGAGGCAGTAATCAATTAGAATTGTCAGCTGTATATGTCGATCTATTGTTTAGTAATCAAACACACCAAGTTCCAGAGAGCTACATGGACCTCAACCTCTTGTTTATGTTATGTTAAGACTATATTAGTTTATGTAGGCCTAATAGGTCAACTTAACTGTAGGTGGATACAACAAAATGTGGCAAAGACATCTCCAAGTTTGAGTTAATTTCAGTTAAAGATATTATCGTTACACATTACTGATGTAAAGATATTAAATCCTTGTGTGTTGTTGTCTTGATGGATGGGTGTACACGTGCTATATCCATTTAAAGAATATGAATCCAAGCTTACCAGCATTCAAAACAACATATCTCTGGACCAGCTATGTCCAGGTCAGGTTACCATCAGTTGTCAGTATACAGTTAACTAAATTAAAATCCCACTTCAAAACAGATATGAGTGCTTTATTCCAAGTACATTCATATTTGTTATTCGGTCTCATCATCTATTTTAGGATATTGACTTTTGAACATGACCAATGTACATCCTACAATCATGTTTACTCCAAAACTCACTGCAACACTTTACTCCACTCCACGACTGCACTCCATAATTTACACGGTGCCTATAACATTACTCAGCATCTATATGTCGACTTTTCCGATTAGGTACATATACAACGCTTACCGTTCACATATTTGTGCGTCGCTTGATAGCTTTCTGCAAATGATCAGTCAAAGGTAATGATTGGTTATGAACATATATTGTTGTTAGTAAGTTTATCAAACTTACAACATGGCCACCACAGCCATAAAGACGATATTTTGTCTTTCTAAAAGCTGTCATAAAAATAAATGTTGTTGAATCTAAGAATTCACTATTTATCACATCACCATAGTATATCGAAAAAAATATTGCGTGATTTGCAATGTGATAAATCAACAGGTTACATATAGATACATAAAAGGAATCGGTAAGGAGTATACTGTAGCTATATAACAACATGTGTTGCAGTATTTAGGATACATGTTGGTGTGCAGCGGTGAGTGATTTCCATACAATTAAAAGATCATCATGGTGGCTTTTAGTTGCCATACTAAAATTATGTTGATTTACTTACTATTTTTTGCACCTCAGACAAGAATATTCCACGTGATACTCCGTGCTGGATTTAGCTATCTCGTCGGATTTGTCTGATACCTTTACGTGATATTATGCGTCTATTTTTAGGTCACCTGAGCTTTAGCTCAAGTGACCTATTGCTATCCGTTTTCGTCCGTCGTCGTCCGTCGTCCGTCGTCCGTTAACATTTTACATTTCAAACTTAAATTCAAGTTTTGCTGGGCCGATTGAACTGAAAGTTGGTAGGAATGATCAGCCCATGGTCCTGACAAAGTGTTATTTTTCGGGTCAATCAGAAATACAATTTGGCTGCCATGGACGCTATTTTGCTACTAATTTCTAATAGGCCGATCTCACTTAAAATTGGTCTAGGAATGATCAGCCCATGGTCCTGACAAAGTTATGTTAACATTATACTATTTTTTACTCAAATTGGTACATATTTCAACAACAAAAATAAATACTGTAGACTCAGGTGACCGTTTAGGCCCATGGGCCTCTTGTCTATTGTAACACCACAATGAAAACAATAGAAAAAAGTTGTTGTCGAAGTGATTTTCATGGAATCTCATTTTGTCGACTTAAAATGAACCACATTGTTGTATTCTACTTACTACTAAGATCTAAATAGTTACAACTTCATGGGGTTTTATAGCTGTTATACGCGTATGTGTATGTATACGGATCATATATATCTCACATTTTCAGGGTATTATTTTTCCAACACCCAATCTAATCCATATATATAAGCATCCTATGTCATGTGGCTCTTTTGGCGAACAAGTCTAAGATGTTCTCTGACAGTAGTAACTGTGCCGTGTTTTGTCCTTTGATAGAACGTAGATCACTCCTAAACCTGTATTTGACATTGATTTATCCCACACTGTTGCCATCAGTTTGTGTTTTGAGATATATATATAATAAAAATTGATATCCTGACATTGTTTTCCCTCACATCAAGGTACCCAAACGAAAATTAGATATTAATTATGTATATGAAATAAGAAAAACTAAAAATCCCGGTGGCTGGTTGACTTTGGGTGTCCTCCCTGTGGGCAGACGGGCGGGCCAAATAGGGTCAATATTTTAAAATCCTACTCCTTCCGTACCAGTCCAGTGTATAAATGGAGAATGTGGCCCCCTGGGTCCAGAGGGGCAGGGTTCAATAGAGGCAATAATGGTAAGTCTTTTAAATTTCTACTGCGTCCATACCGCTGAAGGGATTTTGGTCAAATATTCTTGAGGCAAATATTCTTAAGATATACCTGCGCTATGTGTAAACATATATGATGCGGCCTACAGCAATTCGGCCCAATATGGGAAATGAAGGTAAATCTTAGGATCTTATGATCTTAGTAAGGTAATCTGGATTACCTATGTACCATATATTTCAAAACTAGTTTTCTTTTTCTTTTGTTAAGACAACAAAAGAAACAGGTGAGCGACACAGGCTATTTGTGCCTCTTGTATAAACTGTTCTATATTCTGTCCGTTGATGATTATTGATAAAGGCCGTATAATATATTTGACTTTATTTTCCCACACTGTCGACATCATATTGAGTGAAAGTGATGACAATAATGATTTCGATGATGTTGTTGTTGCTGCTGCTGATTTGTGATGAATGTACAAGTTATATGAAATTATTTGTTGTTGTACAAATGAAATCCTATAAGTTGTAAAACTTACGGAAATAAATTGATATTGAATTGAATGTATGTGTTTCCTGTTACAGCGCAAAAGTAGAGGACCCAACGTCCATTTTGAGGATGTTTTCTGAAGAATCTATCATGTCGGCCGCAAAGGAAGATGACAGACAAACAACACCAGTATATGTTGGTCGGGGAATCATTTGGCAAAATGCTGTCGATGAGATTCTGACTGCGGAAAACCTCCGAAAAGTCATAGAAATTATTTTCTATGGAGAGTTATGCGAGGACCTGGCTGGTCCCCGTCTTGAATTCTTTCGTCTTTTCATGGAGGAGGTCCGGGAACGGCTACTGGACACTGACCAGCACCTGAAATACAACACAGGGCTGGTAGTGTCAAAGGCATACTACGCGTCGGGCTTTCTGATAGGTATGTAATATTTCTTTTTTAAATCTTAGATAATTAATTATGATTATACACTGGACTAGACACAATGCTAATTTAATCAATATGATATACATACGATTGATAGCAGTTCAACCTGAGGTATGTTATAATATTAATACCTCATACTGTGGTGCTCTTCTTCATCTTAAATTTCAAATTTCAATTTGTGTGTTGTACAGATGTGTTATTATTCATTCTTGTTTCTACATATTTGTAACATGTGTATGATGACTTAAACTTTGACTCATATGCTGAGCAAAAATAGCATATGTCAGCCACGCTAAGCATTATCCTGTCGATGGCAGCATTAGAAATTGTCAAAATATATAATTTGGATTATATGCACAACTCCATATATTGCAGGTTTAAGTGCTATTATACAGGGTGGCCCTTGTGCGCCATTTCTGGCCGACTTGATTGATGGTATCTCTGACGAGGAACACCACATTCAATTTCGAAAGGGCCTGGAGAGAGTCGGCATCTTTCAAGTAAGAAACAGACAGTGATTCCAATAGTGAAATGTATGTTTAAGATCAGAAGTCATAATTTGCGTATAAGAAACTACATTAGAGTGAAAATAAGGCGCACATCGTAATATATAAAATACAATGTCAGTATTTACAAAAATAATAAAAATGTATTACCCTTTTATATACTTGTAGCTGATAAAGATGAAACCAACCGTGGCATATCTGTTTCGCTGTTGTCGGTCAATCGGCTACTGAATCTCTTCAAACCCGAATTTGATGAGAGCGGGACTAATAAAAGAATGAAAGAGGACGCATCCTGCAGCATGTTTGTACGATACGTCCGACGTGTGGCAGGTGAGTTAGAGACTGGTGACATGTTTGTATGGTCGGTGTAACAATCAATCAATTTATTATGCAATAGCCTAACATAGTAGAGTGCTATGAGACAACGATACGAATAACATATTTACAAATAAAACAAACATGCTAAATTGAAATAATATCTATTTTACAAAGTTTATATGTCATATTTGTATAAACGTATTTTGACCAGGAACACAATTTTTGGTCTATAATTGGTTTTTACAAACAAACGACAACTTCGAGAAACAGTTGTTTGTTTTTTTACCTCACCCGGCGCGAAGTGATAATGTCAGCTAAAACCACACTGCGGCGTATGTCGTCCGTCCGTCAGCAATAACTTTAAACGACTTTTTCTTCTAAACCATTGCAAAGAGATTTCACTCAACTTATTGTCTGTGCGTTAAAATGTTTTAAAGGAAATAAGCATCACTTTGGATATATATACAATGCTCAATAGCAGTCGATGGATCAACGCGTCATTGATAGTATTGCAAGCAGACAATCTGGTCAAGTAAAGCTGTAATCAAAATCTTTTGAAAAGTGTAGACATCATGGGTATCACTTCATCACTACAACAATGTTTATATAGCTCTTATACTACGTTTTACGAGTATGGTCACATGCAGCATTCTGTATGTAGATTTCCCTTTACATTTGATCATCAATATATTACAAAATTGTTAAACTAAATTTCTAACTTAATTTTACAGCTGGAAGAAGAGAAGTGATTACACTTGGGTTAATACTTCAATTCGCCACGGGCATTTTACCGACCTCGCAGGAAGCCTTCCAACAGCATCCACGTGTTACATGGAGATGTGTCTACCGACTAATTTACAATCCGAGGAAGAACAGTTTGCAAAATTTGACTTGGCATTTGCAAATACGTATTTTGGCCTTGTCTAAATAACAATACGTGCAAAATACGGCTTCGTCAGTATTTGTTCGTTTGCTCTTGCCAGATTTTTCACTTATCATATCGGGGGTCTAGGAAGGTTTGTGGTATCGAATTATAAAAATCAGGTATTTTTACTATTAACGGAATATATATATTTTTTATAAGAGATGTTTGAAGATCAAAGGTTTCGCTTTATTCTTTTAATAGCGATCTTGCAATATCAAATAGAAAACATATTAATGTCCATCCTGTATAAGTGGGAATACATCCTTTCTGGAAATCATAAACTCCTAAGGTTATGTTATGCAACAACCTAATATAATGAGATATCAAATCATATACTGTAATCACACAGATGCAGCTCATTGTTTTCAGACAAAATTGTAATCACAGCAGAGAAAGCACATTGTGTGGGGTCAACTATTTAATAAAGTAAAAGACTCGTTATGGTCATCAACATGTTCTTGTAAGGTTCACTATTGAGAGATAACATTTATAGTGTGGTCATTACGATGGTATATTACTACATAGTTTACGCATTCAAGACCTGGAAGGGTATCGGTCTCTTTGTTTATAATATTGTGTATTTCCCCTATTCCCCAATTTTAGTGAGTGTTAGTTATGATTTGCTACATCACAAAATAATATCCGAAGTAATACACTAGGAAGGATCACCTATGTTTCATCTGTCACGAATACACATTGAGTAGCCCACCCGTGTGTCATAGGTTGCATGCAAGTAACGCGGATTATATAAATGGCTTAGTTTTAAGGTTTAATTGGCATGGCACAATGCTATTCAAGTTGGGTTGAGCCATAGTCATTTTTGTGTTTTTCTTACAAACCAATTAAATATATATATATATGTCAATACTTCCACTGGAAGCCCATGTTGAAGTCGTGTTTATTCCAATGCATTACATAATAGATTACATAATAACGAAGTCTTTAGTTTTTTTAATTGTATGCTTCTATATTAATTGATTATCGTGACTTTACTAATCATATTGATTTTTTGATATAATCTTTTTAGGGATTTAAATCGAATACGTTTATTTGAAAATAGTGTTAGTTAGAACTGTGGGTAGGCATTACTTGAAAAGCTAGGTTCGATGGGTACTTGATTTGTTTATGGTGGAAGAACACAAACTCTGAATATATATAAATTTACACTTTATTTACAAGACCATGAATACGTACAACATAAACAGTGCATAGTTACATGCTATAAGACCCCGCCCTGCTACGTGACCTATCTGTACCCACACAAAGCTCCCATCCCAGATATACCCAACTATAAATCACATTACAAACCTACAGAGTTAGAAAGGCTATGGCAGCGACACAGGAACCCAATACATCTGTCTGCCCTGAATCTAAAGTAACACCCCAATTTATAGCAAATAGACAATACAAACTACTGACCAATCACAACAGAGTATACTGCCTGACCCCCGTCTCACATCCAGCACACACACGATATTAGCACACACACGATATTGTACAACGGCAACATCCCCACTACATTATAATACTACACCAATATTTCAACGTATTAAACTAGGGTATATCAAAAATGTTGAAACGTTTCATCGGAACCGTTTGATTGACCAACTATTGGCAATACAAGCCCATGGCAATTTATTGATCAACCAGTCACAATAAAAGTCTAGAGCTGTAACAAACAGCGAGTTCCGTCGAAATTCTAGAGTTAAATCATCATACCTTAGTTTCAATAAAACGGTAGGATTCCTATCTCGAGTTACGTTATTTGACCTCTGTACCCTACCCGATACCAACCCATGCTCTACATTCCGAAATAACGTTAATGGACATTCTAGTAGAAACAGGTCATATTGATCCATGGGAGACGCCATATTTGTTTACATGCACACATAATCAAGTCCGGGGTTTGTTTGTTTGTTTGTTTGATTTTGTTTAACGTCCTATTAACAGCTAAGGTCATTTAAGGACGGCCTCCCCTGTGTGCAAGATGCATGCGTGTAGTGTATGTGTGTGTATTTTGGGAGGCTGCGATATGTTCGTGTTTCCCCAACCACATGCGCGCCTACAAATAGAGTTTGCCATCACTCGCGTTAACCCTCGAGTTTCCTATAATGACAGTACAAGTTAACATAGTCCTGATTCAGGTGATAAACTTTATAGTAACAATCAAATAATTGCCATCTTCATAGGATAAACAGTATAAGTTGACCAATTAGACATATGTCGTTGGGCAAATAAAACGTATCCCATATTGATCGATATAAGCGTTGAATTTGGTCTTTGACATTAGATGACCTACATTTTGACTCTTGGTATAACTTAACACTGCTATAAGATGTGCATATGACCAATATTACCTGTGCCCTTTGGTGACTACATATCGACCTTTCGTATAACTTTACATTGTTATAAGATGTTTATATGATAAGTATATAATATCGATTCATTTGATAATCAATTTGACCTGTGCCCTTTTGGCGACATACATATTGACTTTTGGTATATGAAATGGAAACTCATGTAAGATCCTATATTGATACCGTACTCGTATGATGTATACACTAATTATTTTAGCATGTAAGTATCACAAAAAAATTATAATACGCAATTGAACACAGAAATGTAAATTGCAGCGAACTAAAAAGTCAAGCTACTAGGTTTACCAATATTACATTCCCGTTTTTCGACCCACCTTATGTAGACGTGGTTTAATATTTAAAAAGTATTTCTAGTTTACAGGTGAAACTATTTATATATACAAACATGCATAGTTATGATATATCATTATGAAAAGTTCTTTTTACACAACCAATATTTGTTTGTTTGTTTGATTTTGTTTAACGTCCTATTAACAGCTAAGGTCATTTAAGGACGGCCTCCCCTGTGTGCAAGATGCATGCGTGTAGTGTATGTGTGTGTATTTTGGGAGGCTGCGATATGTTCGTGTTTGTCTCCTTGTGATAGCGCGGAACTGATGCCGACTTTATAGTGCTACCTCACTGAAACATACTGCCGAAGACACCCAGCAGGACGCCCCACCCGGTCACATTATACTGACAACGGGCGAACCAGTCGTCCCACTCCTAATTTGCTGAGCGTTAAGCAGGAGTAGAAACTACCATTTTTAAAGACTTTGGTATGTCTCGGCCAGGGGACAGAACCCAAAGCCTTCCTCACAGGGGCGAACGCTCAACAAATGGCCAAAAGTGAGGCATTGTCAAGGGAGACATTAGGAAGAAGAAAGTTATTTAGAAAGGAGAGAAGAGATAAGGTCCCAAATTTAGTCGCCTCTTACGATCATGCAATTGGGGGCAGCAGGTACAATTCTTACGCCCTACCTGCAGGGACTAATTTGTTCTATGTTATACATGTATATCAAGTTTGCAACATATGTTAGAGGTTAAATATCAGTATCGACACAGATTGAAATATAACAAATATGTATTGTATATCCTCTTTATGTATCCATGTCTTACGGGGATCATGCTATTAAAGTAACTATTTGAATATACATTAAGTGTGCGCGTTTTTATATTAATATTTGAAGCATATGGTGAACAATTCTGCTTAATCTTCTTCCCAAAAAACTCCATCTTATATAGAGTGGAGACAGCATGTGGCATTTAGAATACCACCGTTTGAATGTTAAAGCATCTGTTTCATCATTTGTTGTTCTGTGCCGAAGTAAACATGCGCTTGAATAAACGATATCACCACTGGTCACTGCTTTACTGCCACAGGTGTATTAAATGTTGATATTGGTACATTTGTTTGTTTGTTTGATTTTGTTTAACGTCCTATTAACAGCTAAGGTACAACACCTCTTCCTAATTATCGGCGTCAGACCATTCTTGGATAATAAACTCGGTACAAGCGAAGTGGTCAAACTCGTCGGATCCACTTCTGGTTGAATGCAGTTTCATACAATTGAGCCATTCGTCATCGTCACCATTGATTTGCTGTAGACAGTCAACTGATCCTGTCAAAATATGGATACATTATAATTGAAACAAAAACGATAGGTGTTCATTGGATTGTATGAAAATAACTCATGATACTTGTTACCAAACTAATATCGAAAAACCGCAATTAAAGCTAACTGTTATTAAATGAACAACATATGTGTATGTATGGTAATTATGCGATATATAATGAGTGCCTATTTTATTACAATTTGTTAACCTCGATGGGAAAATGTTAGGCAACTTAAACACATTGGCTAAACAGTTAGAAACAACCCCCTGTAACTTAGCCCTATCAATATTCTTAACCGATATTTTGTCTGATCACGTTTGGGCCCGTTTTTAGCTCACCTGTCCCGAAGGCCCATGTGAGCTAATTACGGTACTACGGCGTCCGTCGTCCGTCCGCCTGTCGTCCGTTGACCGTCCGTCAACTTTTTCTTTGAACGACTTCTTCTGAAGAACTGGAGGACCGAGGGTCATGATATTTGGCTAGTAGGTACCTGGGATGGAGTGCTATACAGTTTCCTCATTCAAATGACCTTGACCTACTTTCAAGGTCACAGGGGTCAAATATGTTCAAAACTTCAAACAGCAATATCTTAAGAACCATTTGGACTAGAGTATTGATACTTGGGTATGTTATGTAGACCAGTGGTGTGATTTTTTTTATTACAGTAATGAGGTCAAATGTCAACTTTAAGTGAAAGTCGGGAGTTAAAGGTCAATGTGAGGTAAAAGCTTTAAAATTAATATTTCAAATTTCAAACAACAATATCTTCAGAACCGTTTAAGAGATGTTAAAATGTCCTGTGTCCATAATAAATTTTGCTGGGTCTTGAGAAGATTTTTGAAATTTCAGTAAATTCGACCCTTTTTGGCCCCACCCATCAGCCCCTGGGGGTCAGTCAGTGCTGATATGTGCTTATTATCTAACTGCTACCTAATACTGATAATGCTAACCCAAATTGAATTACTTCCAATGGAAATTAAACAAATGTTGGTCCAAAATGTGATTTCCCTATATAAACTATAGTAAAGTTTACCCCCTCCCCAGGGGGAAACATGAGACCCCAGGGTCAAGAAATTCACAATTT